CGTTGATAGTTCCCGTTAGAGATGAGTTGGGGACTAATTGATCTCCAATTATACCCATAAGGGATGAGTCGAGACTAATTACCTCCATTAGTACCCGTATGAGACTAGTTGGGACTAATTAATGCCGAAATGTACCCGATTGAGAGTAATCTCGGAATATTCTCTTTAGAGATTAGTCGCACAATTTTTTGCAGGGGTCCCTCTCATACGGGTATTATTGGAAATCAATTAGTCTCGACTCATCCCTTACGGGCATAATTGGAGGTCAATTAGGCCCCGACTCATCTCTAACGCTACGCGCACACTGCAGCCGGCATCGGCCGAATTGTGCTCGGCCGATATCGGCTATATGCGGGCGATATGAATAAACACTTGTGATTATATGAGCGCTCTCACACATAGACCGATAACCGGACCGACATCGGCCGTTGACGTCCGACAGTGACGATAAATTCAAACATGTTTGTTTTTCTCGTCCGATGTCAGGTGAAAAATACCAAAATGGACTGCGAAAAATTAACTTATTGGGTGCAAAAACAAAAAAATAACATATAAAATCACATGCTTCGAGTATAGGTGTGTTCTCGTATTGAGAGGGCCAAATTCTCCAGCAGCAAAAGTTCTGAGAATTTAGCAGCATCCGCTCTCAAAGAGACGAAATATCAACAGAAGTACGAGAACGCAAAATTTGCAAAAACTTGCAACATTCGAAACAGCTGATCACTTACACAGTGCCACTGGTGATTAATTTGGCAATTTGTTTTCTGCTTGGTACATTTTATCCTGATTTGGCATTCTATACAATTGAATAGTTATGGATAAGAAAAACCTTTTTAAAATACAAAATAATTATATCGGAATGAAAAGTTATTTTTCTCATAATTATTTGTGATGTCACATGATGACGCATTCAAAAACAAGAGTATCTCCTCCAAACACACATCATTGATCCAAAAAAATGTAATAGATATAGCTACAGATGTAGCATTGAAATTATAAAATTTTAATTTCAACAATCAACCTACCAAAACCGAAAACTTCAGCAAAAAAAAAAACATTTAGCATGCTGCATTTAAATCTATTTTGGTATATTTAAAGGAAAATTATGGTACAAACTAAAAATGTCATACGGCAACCATAGTCAGCACACACTAAAGTAAACAAACTGGAGATTAATAGCAAATTAACGAAAAATAAACTCAACAAACATTGTGCTTATTAAATTTACTTACTTTTTCGATGTATACTAGCATTAATAATAAAATTTGCAATAAATAACTCAAAAAGGCCATATTTTCTTTTGTTTATTTACAAACATGTGTTTGTGTTCAGCTGATTTTCTTACTTGCAAGTTTTAGCTGGGAAAAATTTTTCCAGCAGAAATTCGCAGCTCTCTTTCACATTTGCTCTCTCCCCTACTTTGCAAGTTTTTCGGGGACGAGAACGCAAAACCAGTAAAAGTTTTCTAAAACTTAATGTATCAAAATATTTCACTGCTTACAAAATTGTAATGAAAACTAGATTTGTGTGTACAAATACGGTCGGCAAATAATCTGGTTAAGTGTGCGCATCAGTTCGGACGGTCAAATTGTTCGGCCGAAATCGGTCGCCCTATCGGATGCAATGTGCGCCTAGCGTAACGGGTACTATCAACGGTTTAATGATATGTACGCAATTACTCGATGAAATTTTATGTGCGGCGTTGGCACAGAAAGAGAGTATTCGCTTAACAAAACTCTGAACCATGATAAAAACATTACAAGGTAAAATCATTGAAAGGCAGTCTGACGATTGCCAGCAATATTATTTTAAAATTCAAACTCAAGCTCACACACACATTCTCATTTTTAATCTCGCTTTTTTCTATTAATTAACTGAACCATTAACCGAACCGAAATTTTCTACAAATGTTTGATCCGAACCGAAAACCGAACCACTAACATACAGGAGGTAACTGTAGCCGTTCCTGTCTCTCCAATGCGTAACATGTCATGGGCTCAGCATATGTCCGTTTTATCCCCAGCGGTGCAGAGTGCTAATGGTCTTCCTCACACTAACACTGAAGGAACATCCGATGGTGCGATGATGCCCTTTATGTTACAACCTCCGGGCTCACATACTGCCGACTCTGTTGTTGTTGTAGCGGATACTAAGCCCCGTTCGGGGCGGTTCATCCATCAACGTTGTCGTCAATTTCAGCTAGGGGGAGGCCCAGGAAGTGTGCTACTTCCACAGGGGCTGTCCATAGGGAGAGGGGCGTTAGCTGAGTGGGGTTCTCAGGGCATGTGAAGAGGTGCCGGGAGTCATGTGGCGACTCTCCACATGCCGGGCATTGGTTGGGCACATCCTCGTTGATTCTGCTCAAGTAGGAGTTGAGCCCGACTCTGTATACGCTACTGCTGCCTACGGTGGAACTGTTAATGCGGCTGCTGCTAAAGGCGGAACTGCAATACCATCGTCACATACTGCCGACTCTGTAAACGCTACTGCTGCCTACGGTGGATCTGTAAATGCGGCTGCTGCTAATGGCGGAACTGCAATACCCTCGTCACCTGTATTTTCTGCTACTACAGGCGCTTCTGATATCCCCGCTGTGGTTAACATTAGTTCTGGAATGCAAGCCTACTCTGCCGATGTTAAGTATGGCACGCTAATGTGTCGAGCAACCCTGCTCTACTAGTTTTGATGATGTTAGTGCTACTGCGGTGAATAATGGGACTGCTATATCAACGTCTTCTGTTACTTCACCTGCTGCTAATAATTTGTCGGCGAATGCTAGAGGCCTGCACGAATGGCCGACTATGCCACCAAGAAAATTATCAAAGCGTAAAAACCTCGTAGTTGGTAGGAATACCAACACTGTGCTGGAAGTTGCTATTAAAAGGAAATGGGTACATGTATCTTCCTTCAAGCCTAATGCTTCTGTGCAAAATGTAATTGAGTATGTCTCAAAACAGGCAGGAATTGACTGTGAGCACCTAGCCTGCTACAAACTCGTTAAAAAGGGTGTTAATTTGGAATCTCTTAGTACTGTAAATTTTAAATTTGGTGTGGTGCCCTCTCTGTATGATAAGATTCTGGACCCTAACGTTTGGCCAGTGGACATTAGCGTGCGTCCTTTCAGATTTTTTCAGAAAGAAGGAGATCCAGCTCCGGACAAATAGTGCGTCGTTAGGACATAATGTTTTTTAGAGTAAGCATCTTAAAATATCCTTCCAAAATATGTCAGGTATGCGGACTAAATCTAAGGAAGTATTTTTAAGCACGTCTCGCTGTGAATATGACGTCTATGTTCTATTCGAAACATGGCTTAATAGTGATTTTTTCGATGAGGAATTTTTCGACCCAACGCTTTTTCATCTTTATCGAAAAGATAGAGATGCATTGTAAACTGGCCATGGAAAGGGTGGTGGTGTGCAAATTGCAGTAAGGCAACATCTGCGATCATCTTTGTCGCCGCTTATGA